CATACATGGTTGTGGCGGGGGAGGGGTGGTACCTTGATGTGGTTACAGAGGGGTGATACATGGTTGTGGCAACAGAGGGGTGGTACCTTGATGTGGTTACAGAGAGGTCATACATGGTTGTGGCGGCGGAGGGGTGGTACCTTGATGTAGTTACAGAGGGGTTATACGTGGTTGTGGCGACAGAGGGGTGGTACCTTGATGTGGTTACAGAGGGGTTATACATGGTTGTGGCGGGGGAGGGGTGGTACCTTGATGTGGTTACAGAGGGGTTATACATGGTTGTGGTGGCGGAGGGGTGGTTATTGGACGGAGAGTCGATACCTGACTGCAGTCGTGGAGGGCTGAAACCGGACTGCACTTGTGCGTACGTGTGTGATGTTTGTGCGCACCTGTCTGTGGCTGTGTGTACGTGTGTATGTGCGTGCGCGCGTACCTGTGCGTGTGCGTGTGCGTGTGCGTGTGCGTGTGCGTGTGCGTGTGCGTGTGCGTGTGCGTGTGCGTGTGCGTGTGCGTGTGCGTGTGCGTATGTGAATATGTGCGTGTGCATACATGCGTGTAAGTTGGCATTGGCGTGTATACGTCTCTTTTTCTCGCATTCTCTTTCTCCTCTTTTTTCTGTCTCACTCACTCACTCACTCACTCTCTCCCTGTCTCTCATTCTCTCTTTCACTAGCAATTTTCCTTAGAACTGCATCTATTTCCAGTGAATTGCCTGAGAATGCTCTACAAGAATTTACAAACGTTTTATAGATTGTTGGTAAATCTTTAACTATTGCAGATGTTTTGAGGTGGAGAGAGAATATACTGGTTGGGAAAATTACACCGCTACATTGCCGCAATCTTTGCGGAGAAACAGTTTCCATGGCAACCAGGTACATAATGCGGGGAAGGAAGACAGGCAGACAGATAGACAGGCAGGCACCACAACACGATAGAGCTGATTTCCCTTTTCTTGTATAGATTCTCGAGGGAGGTCGGGTTTGGCCAGGGGCTCCATGTGCTTATAACCAGACAGGCTCAGTGATTTGAGGACATGTGTGCGTTTTAGATGCATTAGATTAGAAGCTTAGTATAACCAGAGTTATACTCAACCCCCATGAACAATACCAACGTAGATGTGTGCGTTTGTGATGATGCGAGAGATAAAAATAACTTCTGTTATAAATAGATCTGTTGTTGTTGCTTTTGCAGTGCCACGTTGGGAAGTGCGTACGCGCCATGCCCCATATCGGCTGCCGCGTGACATTAATATTTTATTGGCAACGGTTATTTCTAGTTTCTCATCTGTACAATTTGGTCGATATTTCGAGAGCATTAGTTTGAAATCTATTCGAATAGTATTTGCCGCTACCGGTGCACTCTCGCTTCAATGGTAACCGCACCCCTTCCCCATACATTTTCACTTATGTAAAGCCCGGACGTAATTGTGCGGAATTGATTGTGCGTTGGTTTATAGGAACGCCCGGCCGTTTACGGCGGCAGGGAATCGTCACGGCCAGACGAATATCGCGCGCACCGTCCGTAGCCATCGCCATGGCGACGGCACGAGGATGCGCGAGCTTACCTTGCTGCAAGCATTGCACGCTCCCCCGCCATTCTCTCTTCGTGACAGGTCCGCGCTTCTTTCCCCCATATGAAGTGGCAGACCTTCCTTTCCTATCTCTGTATTGGGTAGAATGCTGTGCTTCCTCCTTCCCGTATAAGGATGCGTGTGTGGCATTTATATATATATATAT